GATACTCCCCATCAAGTTCTGATGACTCTAGAATAAATCTCAGGACTGGGAATTCTGTTTCTTGTTTTTTGGAATTTTTAGAAACCACTTGAGAATCTATATCTAATCCCTCCCCCACCACTTTTTTTTTTCCCTTATAATCACTTCAATTCCTTTAACAACTGACAAAGAAAAAACTTAGCTAACTAAGTTGCTAATGCATTTTTTAATCTCAACTATTTTAAGGTCTATGAAACTATAATTCCCATTGCCAAGATTTAGGACAATTGTTCTTACACTTTATTGTGTATCAGGACCTTGCTGAAAATGCAAATTGCTGAGCGCATACCAAAGGTTCAGTAAATCTGGAGTTGGATCTCATAAAATCTATATTCACCTGAGATCCCAGGAAAGAGTTAAGAGATATGCCCAAATTCTCTTCGTGAGCTGGCTCACAAAGAGCTGAAGTGCAGGGTGAAGTTCACCTGTCTGTCATATTCACAGAGTGAGTGGAAGTGTGTCGGCTGATAAGAACCAAGGCTTCTCCAAAGAATTTTTGAAAGTGGGTCCTCCACTGTCCCATCCCTGGGCACTCATCAGGGACATACTGCTTTTCCACACCGCTAGATGCCCATACCTTTAACATCATGATCTTGATGCTGATGATCAGCATACATTCTATCCTGCCTTCTCATCTTGTGCAGCCACAGTCTTCAGTGACCTTATTAATACCCTGGAGGTACCCATACCATGTTGAAGGAGATGCTTTATCGCTTTATTCCAATTAATGAATGGGATTGAGCCCTTCCTGCATTCAAGAGGAAGAGGATGTACATTTATTAAGAGAAAGGGAAAGAAAAAACATTTTTAAGTGCTACCTATGCACACATTGTTGACACTAGCTCTTGTAAACTCAGTACAGCTTGCTGAAAAAGTAAGCCACTCTTAAAGTGATATTTAATCTTCACACAAATGCCTTGAGGTATTATTCTTACTATTTGACAAATGAAAAAAGTTGAAGTTAAAAAACTCGTGCTATCGTGCAGGTGGTTGCGGGGAATGTCAAAATTTAAACCCAGGTATCTTATTCCAGACTTCATCATCTTTCTATTCACCTACATTCCTAAGCTCGAAAATCCTATAACCATTTTATATAAGTGTTTTATAACCATTACCTAGGATATTGAAATGATCAATTTCAATTCACATCTCTTTGGCCACTAAGTGCAGCTTTCCCACATCTCTAAATATTACTTATAAGTGTTTTCTCTTACAGTTGTCCTCATTACACAATAGCCAAAATAAATAAAATGTGCTTACCATTGCAGCTGTCCCATGGGGCTTCCCCATACATTTCACCGTCTTGCCCAAACATTCAAAATAGGCACATGCACATCTATAAACACATTCCTTCCACTTCCTCTTAATGATGGAACAAGTCGGCCTTCAGCCTGGGATGTCAGCTCATCTTCCCTATCCCAGCTTTCTCACTAGTTACAAAGCTGCACCTCCCCCAGGACGTCCTTGGCATTCCCAGGGTACTGTTGCCACCTCTTTACCAAGACAGCTTCCTAAGGGCTCTTTTGTAGTCTCCCGAGTGGTCCACATGGTTGGCATTCCTTAGAAAGTACCATCTTGGCCTGACTGTCATTTCACTTTTGCCAAGGCAGGGCTAACGTCCCTGGTATTTGAGAGAATCAAATGGACTTAATGATCGTCTACCCTTCTTGTGTCTCCATCTTCATATCAGGTGGGATGTGAAAGAAGCAGGGACCCTGACCATAGTAACTTCACACTTTAGAGAGAAATGTCTTTTATTGAGTCACATTGCAACTCCATTGCCCTGATGCTAGTGGTGAGGAAATGTTGGAAATGGCTGTGGGAGAACTGGAAATGGCTGCTTCCTCTTTGTACTGCAGACCTTCTTCCCAGGAATAATGTTTTCTCTCATGAAAGATAGGTATATTTTATGTGTCAGGAAAAAAATAAAACTATGTCACTCATCATGTGTCCCTTTTTTAACATAGCTACTAGAAAATTCTAGAGTTAAATTTAGTGCTCATTTACATCAATTATCTCATTCTTGGTTTCTGGCTAAAAGAAACTATCTTTTCTGCCCTATGATTTCTAAGCTCTGGAGGCACTGGAAATTTAGGGAAGGATCCATGATGTCTTTATGCTTGAATACCAGTAATTTTTGGAAGTTCTTATGAATATTTCCTGGATATTAAGAAAGCTAAATCTGGCAATATCACACCTCTTTTCTCTTATGGGCTCTTACTAATTGAGTAGGAGATCAGAACCAGTAACATTATCAGCATTATAAAGTGCACTGGAGTTCCTAATAAATTGATAAGGGAGTGCATCTTATATACGAAGTCAACCTTCTCCCCCATCACCATCACAATTTATCTAAATCTAGTGTTTAGGACAAACCTGGATGGAGATGTGGTTCTGTCAAGCATATACATACCCGGTCACACACACAGAGGATTGTGGCTTAATTCACATCACATTGATGACCAGGGAGAGGAAGCCTGAGGCAGCCTGCCTCCTGGACTGGCTCAGGAAGAGAATCATAAGCCATGGCCCAGTTGGCTTTCCCAGTTAGACCAACAACGGAGATGCTATTGAGGCCAGGCCAGAGAGAGAGAGAGATCATTAATGTTCTTTACCTGGGACCACTAAATGCCTTGGTGCTGGTTGCTCACACAAGATATTCAGCCGAGGCAGCATATGACAGGGCTGAAACACTGTCACTCTGCTCCTTTTTGTAATTAATTCTCCCAGATGGCATGCCTTATGTATTTAATCCACCTGAAGGGAGCACCTTTTTCTAATTCACACAACGGCTCCGTATGAACTGCAGGGATTCAACTTTTACCCCAATCTCCTATAAGCCACTTCTCCGATAAGGAAGGGTAAATGTGGAGGTTAGGGGTGTTGGGAGCATGGAGTGAGCAACTAGAAGTGATCTTCCAGTGTTCTGTCTTGGGACATGGAGCAAATGACTCTTCCCCTTTGTGAATGTATGAGGAGCCGAGGCAGTAAATATTGTCCTCTCATAATCATATAATTTGTCAGAGAAGGACATGATATTCGGAGAGAGTGGTATACAAAAAGAAAAAGGAGCGTTGAACTGTCACTAATTTACATATTCAGCAGGTCTTAACTTAGTGTCTACTATGTGCCAGGCACAGTGCTAGGTGTTGAAGATTCTATGGTAAATAACAAAGTGTGTCAGAACACCGAGGTTCTGGTTTCCATTCTCTGTGTTCCTTTAGGCAAATTATTTCCTCAGGAAGATTATAAAATGAGTTTCTATATTGTCATCATTGTGCATGTTCTCTCCTAGTTCCGGCGTGCTTACTGTATGTTTAGGTCTCTGGGGAGTTTTATGAGAGATGTACCTTCATAGAGTTATTGGCTTGGGAGGATGTAACCCCTGAGCTCCTCTCTGGTCTCTCATTGAAACCTTCCATGCTCCTGTGTGTTAAAATCAAAGCCATTGTTTTTATTTAGTTGCCCGATTATTTGCCAAGGAAAACTTATCAGCAGGTAGCTCTACTGAATTCAGGAATCCCCTTATGAACAGACTTAGGTGAGTATCCAGAAGAGCTGGAACATAGGATGCTAAGTGAGGAAGGGCAAACACAGGTGCTGAAGAAGTGAGCAGGGGCTAGCCTGAGAAGAAACACACAGAAATAAAGGCATTTCTGCTTAGAAATAAGGGCATTGGGGAGAATTTTTCACAGGGAGTAACATGATCAAATTTGCATTTGAGAATAATCACTAGCTCCATCCTAGAGAGGAGCACCCTTAGAAACAGGGAGATTTGCTCCAGGCCTAATTCAGCAATCAGGAAGGACATCATAGTAGCCTGGGTTAAGGAAGTGAGAGACAGTGAGGATGAGATAAGGGGATGGATTCAAAAGAGATTTTTGAGATCAAATGTACAAGACCTGGAGACTGGCTAAATACAGAAAGGGAGAGAAAAGTCACGGAAAGGTGCTCCCAAGTTTCTGGTTTGGGCAATGGAGTGGTGTCTGTACCCTTCCAGCAGACCAATACTGGCCCCTTCACAGCTTGGGGTGGAATCTGGAGAGAGTAATAAGTGGGGCTGGAAGGTGAAGGAAAGGGGTCTGAATAGACCACTCAGCTCCCCTATTGTAATGCAAGCTGCACATCACTACCTCATTGAACTCAGAACCATACACACTGTAGGCCCCTAAGTAAATGTATGTTGGGTGAATTAAATTTTGTAATGTGAAAATATAAAATGCACTCTGGTATTGATGCCCATAAACTTTAGGCTAGACTTGACAAAACCCGCTGTCTTAACCCTCTAGAAATGTCCCAAGAGAATACTTTAATGAATGGGAGACGTGAAAGTGGGACTGTGAACAAGTCTTGAAAGCGTTCAAATCTAGCATCCTGTTCAGTTCTGGAATCCCTCAGAGATTGACATACTCCATACAACCATGTGGTTCTGGTTGACTTGAATAGGATTCCCTTGCAACCCACAGGTTCTAAATTATCTCCTAGTAGGTATAACATTTATAGGAGATCTATTATTTTACCCTGAATACCCCCTAGATGCTGATACACTGAATTCTGAAAGTAGCAGAACTCAGAATAAGATCACCTTTTACTAGAATGCCATTACTACATGTTGATTTCTGCAAGCCAACGATATTTGCAATAAAAGAACATTTTTTTAAAGAAGAAAAAGGAAATATAATTCCATGCTAAGAAATATCAAATACAACTTTCCAACAGTATTTATTTTGTTTCGTTTTTGTCTCATTCAAGACAAGGAATTTCTTTTAAGAAGGGATAGATTTTCCCAGGTCTGGAGATTAAACAATTTAGTACTCATTTCACGTTCTGCTCACAAAAAGGGGATTTGCATATGAACTTGTTTCGGCAAGAAAACATGTGAACGTGTTTCATGGGAACTAACTCTATCTGTGGCAGCTCCTTTTGGCCATCATCTTCTTTTCTTGTTTTCATCCCTCCAGGTCACCGGATTGAAACTGTCTCAGGACCTCGATGATCTCGCCATTCTCTACCTGGCCGCAGTTCAAGCCATTGCTGTAAGACACTTTAATGCCATTTTTAAAAAGACTTAGGGTATCAATAAACTTTAGACCACATTATCCCCAAGATATATCATATGCCTTTGTGACAGAGTTTCTTAATTAAAAGGGAGCTTGCCAAAAAGAGATGCGTGTCTGTCCAGAAGGAAGTCTAGACGGTTTTCACCTGCTTTATTAATAACCTCAAATAGCTAGAAGCTGAAAGGAGTTAAAGTCTTTGAATGTCATATTTATCATTTGTCTAATTTGCCTTCTAAGTTCAATTAAATGGAAGCAAGCAAGCAGATGCCATGTATGCTTGCATTAAGAAAAACTAGTATTAAGAATGTCCAGATTTATAAAATGCATGATATTGTTCACTTGGCAAAAAGATTTATTAAAGAGTTTGTTTGTTTGTTTGTTTGTTTTTTTAATAGTAAGCTTCCTTAAAACATGAAAGTGTTTGGTTTTAGATAATTACCTGCTTAAATGAGCAGTTTGGATGATTAGGGAGTGAGAATATAAATCTAAAGTACCAGGAGCTCCTAAACCAAAGATCAATCAAAAATGAAAACAAAATCCTAAAAGCTCGAACATGATGGTCTAAGGAGTCTTATTCTCTAGAAGTGACCCATGAGTGGGCTGTAAGAGGGTTCTAAACCTTGAAATCACTCATGGAAGATTATATGTGTGCACATGTTAGAAAGCGCATTTGGGCAGATTGGGTCATAGCTTTCAGGATCTCAGAGCTGGCGAGAACCCCAAAATCACTGTTGATCTAGTGAGACTTGGCCACTCTGGAAAGAAAATGAGGACCAACAGAAAGGAAAAATCAGTTCACTAAATTTGTATTCAAAATTGATTTTCAGGAAAATACCCATTTAAACAAAGATTTTGTTAATGCTTTATGGACGTATTTATATGGTGTTCAATTATTGTTTTTCCATATTTCTTTTATAACTTTAGTGCTTCAAATAATAGAACTACATGCATTTTTCTTATATCTATATCACCGTCAAAAGTATTTTTCTTATGTTCCAATATGTCCAGGTGTCATGTACATATGATGAGAACAGAACTCCCCAACCACTAAAGGAATATACAGTGTTTAGTATAACTACATAGGAGTATGGAATCAGACAAGGTGATTAGATTAAACAGTGTTTTTGTTTGTTTGTTTGTTTAGTTTATAGGCCAGTTCTGCTGTATTTTTCTGAAGCTATTGATTGAATAGCTTGGCTAGTTCAGTGGAATCAATCACCCTGCCTTATTTATGATAGGGAATTGGTCAAAAACAGATAATTCTGACATCTATCAAAATGAAGAGAGTGACTAATAAGATGAAAATGGAGAACAAAACTGTGCATCAGTAGTAAAAACAATTATATATCTAGTGATCCTATTTTATAGTAATGATATAGTTTCAGGATATCATGTGCCAGGCACTGTGCTAAATATTTTACACATTATCTGACTTAACCTTTTGAGGTAGGTATGATAATCCCTGTTCCACAGATTAGAAACCTAAGCCTCACTGAAGTTAATTGCTCAGTTTCATATAGCTAGTAAGGGGCAGAGCTGGGATTTTAAAAATTAGATATATGATATATTGAGGAACTTTCTTTTATTTTCTGATTCATTAATGTCATTGTATGGAAAATCTTATAGTGGAATGAATTGCTTGTATTGAAATGAATAATCCTGGTGAACCAGAGCTGGGTGATGCTCATCCTTCTGAGTCTATGCTAAGAGATAGACATGAAGAATGAGGCCACACAGGATGGACCAAGGGGCACCATCATGTGGTGATAATGACTGTTACCTCTCTTCGATACCCACTCTCTGTGCCAGGCATCTGTGGCTTAAGACAGTTACCTATAAGCAGGTGAGATTGTTCTCATTTTAGTCACAGAGGGAAACCGCTTGCCAAGGTCAAAACATGTAGTATACGGCAGAGTCAGAATTTGAACCTCTATCTGACTCACTCTCCCAGGCTTCTGCTTTCCAGGTTACCAGGCTGCATTTTTCTTTTATCTATTTGTTAAAGCTATCTTGATACAATAAGCTTCCAGGCATTCCCAAGGGCAGTTTTGACTTGGCATATCTTAGAAAACATTGTTAATTTGGCCAGGATTGTCTCACAGAGGTCCCTTTCCTGGTAAGAACACTGCAGTAGAAGTCCAAGAATGTATAAATGAAGATACATGTAATGCAGGCCGTGTTGAGGGTGGAGAGCCTGCTATATTTTCCCAAATACCACACACTTGGAAAATCAATCTTGTTTGTAACGGGCCATCATGTAGTAAAAGCTATCATAGTTATTCTGTCCATTGTCTTAATGACGTTTATAAAAATGCCACAAAGAGAAGCCAATTTAAGACTGAGATTTTTTTTAAGAAGACTTTATTATGGAGTCAAATGAATTGTGAGTACAGTCTGTTTTGCACAAGTATCTTGGTGTGCAGATCTTTTAGGCAAAAATGTGCATTTTAATGAAGTATTCTGATAGCAGATATTTTCCCATAATGTTCAACTTGAAAAAAAACATTTTTTTGTTTCATTGGCTCCAAATAAGGCCATAGCACCTATTGGTTGTTGATAAGTTAAATTGAAACAAATTCCTCTCTATAGTAATATCTATGGTTGGTATTTTGTAGAAATAAATGAAATTGAAGAGATATTGTAATGGAGTTAACTTGGGACTGTGTGAAACCCTCCATGAAGTAAAATTCTCTCTTGATTGAACTTCATTGAAAGACCTGTCAAACACCCAGTTTATCCATAGCCTGTTCATCTATAGTTTTCTTTTCAGAATAGACCCTTAAAAAGTACTATTTGCATTTGAAGTCTCTCAATTTGCATTTGGTTCTGTACATTCCCAGTGGAATGGCTTAATTTTAATTTAAATTTCTCTGTGAAAACATTTTTTCCAGAAAGGTGAGCACAGAATCATTTTAGCACAAAGCCCTTTGGCGGGGCATTTAAGGAGGGTGGAGCATTTCACAGAGTGGAGTCTGGGACACCAAAAGGGAATGCCCTGTAACGAACTGCCAGCCCAAGTGGGAAATTCCAGCCAACAATGCCACACAGGAGAGAGACAGGCTGTCACGGCCCCTCTTGAGGGAGTGCCTCTTGTTCCAGTCTTTCCTTCCTTTTCCCAGGCAGTGGGCTTTGTATTACCCTCAACTCAGGCCTGCTAATCTTATGAGCCCCAGGTCCCTGGTTTTAGAAATATCGATTTTGCATTGCATTTCCTACAGACTGTTGTACCTTAGGCAAATTATATAACTCCTAAATGAGGGTAGCAATATGCAATTTTTGAATTTGTCATTAGGTTAGAGATGACAGTTAAGTGCATAGCAGAGTGCCTAGCATATAGTTGATAAGCAGAATGACTCATTTCTAAACACTTCTCATGTGCTCGACACTCTTCTGCAAACTTACATGCACTGTCTACTTTACAGGTAGGGTTAAGTGTTTCACCAAGTCTAAGACCACATTTAAATTTTTTAAAATTTCTGACAATCCATAGAATTTTCAAATGAACGAATGTGGTATTATTATTCCCATTTAAAAATATGAATTGAGTCATAGAAAGGTTAGGTATAGGTTTGATTCAAGAAATAGGTGAAATGCCTTAATGCCATCCTAGGTTTTTTTTAATTCAAATGTCATAATCTTAGCTACTACAGATTCATATCCCTAGAGTAGACTTAGAGTACCTGTATTCCGTGGACACCAAATGAACCATGGTGGATGTAAGGGCATCTGTAGACCTCCTGAAACTATTTATAATACCATTTTGCGACTTTTTTCTGGGGAGGTCAATAGGTTTTATTATTTTCTTAAGAAAGTTCATGACCGCCAAAAAAGCTTAAGAAAGAACATCTGGGGGTAATCAGCCATAATCAATAAGCAGGATCTGGCCTTATATGGTACAACATGTTTTAATTTTTATTTTTAACCCAGTACATCTGTGGATTATCTTTGGCGGCCCACATTTCACCTAATCCATATTCTTACCAGATTTCACTAATAGCTTCAACAAAACCCAGAGACCTCTGGGCTGGAACTGGTCTGCTCCTTGAACTACCCATCTCCTTCATCATTTATTTCACAGCAATCAGGATTTCAACCCCGCATCCCCCAGACCACCCTATAGAAAACTCCCTCTCCCAGAGGTACCTCCAGCCCAGGATAAAGCTCTCCAGCTGGCCTTGTTAAAGGGGGCTTCACTTACCCTATATTCTACCCTCTGGGGGTCAAGGGAATATTTAGATCACTTCTCAAACCCTCTACTTTGGTTAAGCCTCTGATTTGGCATTCCCTCAAGCTAAACTATCGTCTTCTTTTCTATACCCACTTAGGTACCAACTTGCCAGCAATGCTGTCACACTTTCATTTGTGATATTGGCTCATGTGTTCCCTCCAGCCCAAACTTTCCTTCTTCTTGGTGGCTGCACCATCTGTAGTGTCTCAGATCCTTGACCTCGTCTCCCTTGACCTTCTCTTCTGTCTGCTTTAGCATCTCCCGTGTTCACACCTAGGACTTTGTCGTCTCCCAGAATTGCTCAATCTCTAAACATTTTCAGGTCTATCTCGCCACCGAAAAAACCTCTTCCTGCCTCGTAAGCCCATATCACAGTTCATCTTCTATGTTTTTAATTCTTATCCCAAATACGTTATGATTTGTGGAATTCTAGTTTTTGAACTTCTAAATAAATTATGGTTTTTAATTATTAGAATATTCTAGCCAAAACTAAAGAATCGGACATTAAGATTCACCTGATGACCTTACGATAGTGTGCTCTTCCCAAGCTTTAACATTTGTTACCAAGTTTAGTAAACAGCAAAACAAGGATGAGTATAATGCATTTTAAGAAGATAGTAAGACATAGGGCTGAAATAAAAATATGGTGAAGACTTGAGCCAACTAGAGCATGTGATTTTGCATCATCCCAGATCATTAAGGACTGACCGAGAATGGATTCTCGCTCTGGAAGTCTCATTATTAGAACCACTGCCTGGTTCCAGGTGACAGCAAAGGCCATTTTTAGCCCTTTGCCAGCCTGAATTCTGTGTCTTGCCTTCTCTGTGCAGTTAGAGCCCCCTTTTCGTGTTTCTGCTGCTGAAATTGTCAGTGTCTTTTTTCAAGGAACAAATGTCTTTAGTTCCTGTTTAGGCACAGAAGATTGACTCAGGGACCAACGACCACTGTTTTCGGAATAGTATTGCAAATCGCTCCATTGCCAGTACCTTATAGAGCAGTGGTCCCCAGACTTTTGGCACCAGGGACTGGTGCTCCTATGAGAATCTAATGCCTGACGATCTGAGGTGGAGCTGAGGTGGTGACGCCAGCGCTGGGGAGCGGCTGCAAATTCAGATGAAGCTTCACTCACTCAATTGCTGCTTATCTCCTGCTGTGCATCCCAGTTCCTAAAAGGCCACAGACTGGTACCAGTCTACACCCCAGGGGTTGGGGACCCCTGTTATAGAGGATCTAGGCTATAACAGACACTCATCAAATAATGCTTTGAATGAACTGTATTAATATTAACTGTGTTAGCATTGTCATTTGTTTTCATCAGTATTTTGTAGCAATTCATAGAAGCAAATGGTGTAATAATTAAAAGGAAATTCAGTCAGGCAGGCCCAGGTTGGAATTCCTACTCTGTGACTTCATGAACTGTGTGATCAGAGACAACCTAACCTCTCTGGGTCTCAGCTTTCTGAGATAGTGTATATAAAGCTCTTAGGGCAGTGTCTGGACTGGGTAAACACTTAGTGAATGTTCCATATCATTTACTTTTGCTATCACTCTGATGCTTTCTTCCATTTTTCCCTTTAAGTTTGGAACTCGCCTCATTATAGAAGCCATGCAGGGAGCAGGGCACTCAATCAGCACTCTTTTCCTGTGTGGAGGCCTGAGCAAGAATCCCCTTTTTGTGCAAATGCATGCAGACATTACTGGTAAGTCTGAGGAGGAGGGGAGAAGGTCATCTTAGGCTGGGCAGAGAGAATGGTTGTAGCCATGATCTAGACAGGGTTGAGAATAAGAGGATGTATATGCCGTGCCAAATTATTTTGAATATTTACTATGTCAAAATGTATTTTTTAAAGATAACTGGAGTATTTGTAGTCATGATGGGGAAAGTGACTTTGATGTGAATCCAACTATGGAATGATGGCAAGAAACGAGACAGGAGAGGTCAGCAAGGGCTAGATCCTAATTGAAGCGTTTACTCAACAGTTTTGAGTACCAATTCTGATTTACACATTGTGAGGAATCTTGCAGATACAGAGATGAGTAAGACAGGATGTCTTCCCCCAAGGAGTTCACGGCCTATTGAGGAAGGCAAACAGCAATCAGATTCCTTAAATCTAGTGTGGCAATAGTTCCGACTGAGAAAAGTGCAAAGTGTTGTGGAAACGCAGTGGGGCTCTTCTTCCTGGTTTGGACCTGTGACGGTACAGGGCAAGTGATCTGGAGGAAGGGATAAGGAAACTGTTTTGAAGAAGAAATGTAGAGCCCGGCTGCTATGGGAACTGTGGGTCTGGCTGCAGATAGGAATTTGCCCCCACGATCCTGTGATTTCTTCTCAGCTCATCAGAATCAGAGATCATGACATAAGTGGAGAGAATCCAGAGTAATGAGCTGATCCCTCTGTGATAGGAGCAGACAAAGTGAGCAGGATCCATAGAGCAGACCCCTGGGCCCCATTGGCAGGAGTCTTGCTGGTGTCAGAGGCTGGCCTGTACTTCCATGCCTCTGGACCTGGTGTCCTATCCCTCTTACTCCTTTCTCTCCCAGTGTCTCCTGGGGACTGCTGTTCCCTTCCTAGGACCCATCCCAGTGTGGCCAGGCACCAGGGTAGGGCAAGGAGATGGAAGTAGGGTAGGACTTGACCCTGCGTACAGCCCCAACTCCAGCTTTACACGAGCCCACCCTACACACTGGCCTCCATTCATCACGATCTCTTGCTGTCCTCCACCCCCTGGATTACTTGTCTCTGACAGCTGGGTGGATCACGTTCTCTGCCTCCGACTCTGCCCCAACATATCTCCTTTCCCCCTCTAGGCCATGCAAATTCCTGCATATGAGCGCTTTACCAAATGTGCTGGATATAATTGACGCCTGCACATCGTGAGATCAAACTAAAGTTGCTTATCCCCTGATACTAGAGATATGTAGACTGAGGACAGTATAAAAAAGCACACAGTCTAAGGTTAATATATCAGGATGTCAAGTATAGAAATTCGTACCATTAACCAAGCTCCCACTGTGTGTCAGTGTGAATTACTTTATCTACATTTAGTCCTCACATACCACCAAAAGGTAGAAATTGGTGCCCACATCTTACAGACAAGGAAAACTGAGGTTCATGGAAGTGAATTAAATTAACTATCCAAACTCAAAGACAGGACCAAGATTATAACCCAGGTATGTCCAGACCCAATGTCCCCTATACTATGCTGCTGACACAGGTTTCTTAACTTTTCTGCCTAGTTTGTAACCATTTGATGTCGATGAGTCCTTCTTTCCCAGAGTGTCCAAAACCTGTTGAACTGGGCCAGTATGAGGCAGAAAGAGGAAAGACATGAAAATACACCCAGATTATCTCATAATTTTCCCCAGGAGAAGAACCATAACTGCATTTATGTAAATGTCAGCTAGCTGGTTCAGATACGATTCAGACTTAAAATCTGATCTGTGAGTGACTTTCTAATTTCCAGCTTTCTAATAGCCACCAAGACTCCCTACCTGGATGCAGGAGGGGAGATAAGATCAGCCTTGGCTAACACATCATCCGAGGGAATGGGAAGCAGGGCTCTGAGAGGAGGGCAGCCTGAGTGACCCGGCCAGACTCTGCACGGCCCCTGCAGCCTTTGTGAATGTGGGTTTTCTTCCAGGCCTTATCTCCCGAGCTGACTCAGAGGCAGGGGGTGCAAGGGCTCCACAGAAAGTTCTGCTTTGGAAACTGTTCTCCTTCAGTTGAATGAAAAGGCTGTTAATCGTTATTTGGATTCCAGTTGAAATTAGACCCTTTGTCTCTGACTACGGACCAGTTACAGTCTCAGACAAAGGGACCTTTTCTTTGGCCTAGAATTCCTCTGCCTTGGGAAGCCTATGATTGACAAGTGATGGCAAAGTGCATCTGCCTTTAAATGCTTTGGGTTCTGCTAAACTCATTAATGCATCAGATAAAATAGTTCACATTCCAGGCAAAGCTGCCTTCTTCCTCTCCTTCACCAAGCACTTAGAGAAAAAGAACACATTTGCATTCATTCCTATAAAGGGCACGTACACAGCATGAGGTGTAGGGTAGAGTTTTGGTGACTTTAAACATTGTAATTACTCTAGTATTCCTGCAAAGAAAGACTAAGAGAGGACCATAGAATTGGTACTAGATTCTCTGGAATACATATGAAAAATACAATGGAATTTGGAAGACGCTTTAAAGAAAGTGTGGAGTAATTAATGGAAAGAGGGTAGGGGACAGCTCTGTGACTCTGGGCAAGTCGCTTTACCTCTATGAGCATCATTTTCTTCTTCTGGAAGATAGAAATAATATTATTTTCATCATGTAGATCATACTGAGGAATAAATATTCACGAGTTTGTGAGCACTAACCTCTGTGCTTGGCTCAGTTCAATAAAAGTTAGTTCACTTCTTCTCTTAAGGCAGCCCCACACCAGAAAGACAGAGGTACATTTGAGAAGAAAGCAGTTTAGTATTTTGTAAGCAAATCTTTGCCATTTGGGGAACAGCTTGCTCCATGCAAGCAGGGAGAGTGGGGATTTGCCAACTTGGAAAATGCCTTCTATGCGAGGGGGAAGACTCTCCTTGTACCCTTAGGCATTTAGTTAACTGCGGTTTCAAGAAATACTTAGTATGTACTAAGTAATTGTAGGTTTCCCCTACTGACTTAGGACTAAATGTTCCTCCTTCTAGATTTGGTTTTTTAGTACTGGCAATTTCAGTAGGGGTTTCCCTCTTCCTGTCTTATTATTTTAATCATTCTTTACTTCATTTACTCCAAAGCCTTTCTCTGAGCACACCAGTAAAGCAGGCACCAAGAATGGCATGGGGATGTGAAGAACAATAATATCCTGCCAACAGGGTCATCACGAACTGAAAAAGTGCTCTTGGTGCTTTGACCAATGTCCAGAGAGTACAGTGGGACCCAGAGGACATTGGTGTCAGTATGAGTCAGGTCCAGGCAGGGAACAGATGACACACTCAAACTGGATTAACTGTAAAAGTTGAATAAAGAGTCTGTTTACAGAGGTGTGGGCAGGGTGT